AGACACAAGTTAAAACAAAAAAAATGACAAACTACTGTTAGTTTCGTTCTGTTGAAATACACAATAATCAAACACCAACTTATTACTATATAACAATAACAATGCCTTACGCAAAGAACATAGTGGTCCGGCCCATGAGAGTTTGTCCAGGCTGGGAAGACTAAGAAGTCTTTCATGCTTAGATCTGCCTAAAATGTATGGAGAAAAAAATTGTTGTAACATACAATTACTTTTCTTCTTCATAAATTTTGTTTACTTATGTTGACTGGCTCACTGGAAAGTCAAGAATGTCAGGTGGTGTGGTTTTCCATGTTGGAACAACATACATGTCCGCTATAAATATGTCTTTACCCTAAGAAAGACATATCAATAAAAGAAGACAAAGGTGAAAATCAGCAAACAATTTTATTTTTTTCATTTCAGCTGAAGTGTTTATGGATAAAATTACTCACATGCAGCAGGGCTAATTCCTTGAGTAAGTACATACAGGCATTTCCAATCTATAAAACATTTTTAAAAAAGTATATGGGCAAATGCAAATTATGTCTCACATTTTCTTGTGTTCGTTTACATCCCATTACTCACGGTTGAATCCATGTCTCGTTGCAACCCAAGGCTCCAGAATTCTTCTCTTGTCACACAAATGGGTCCTTCTTTCACAATGTATTCTGCCCCTGGTCGACTCTTGTCCAGCACATAATTAAGCTGTAAATATTAATCATTATTGTAATTTGTTAGACGCTCAGATTTAATTTTTTTCAAACTGTGTTTTTTAAAATTTGATAAATGCCATGATTATAAAAAGATTTGCTTACTAATTGTTCTTGGACATGGTTCCATTCTTCTTCCCAGAACTTCTTTGTGGCAGCTGTTACACATGGCACATCATTGGGAACCTCATCGTGGGGACCCGTCAAGGACGGACTAAGTGCTGGTTGGAGAGGCATTGGCGACACTGAAAATTTTTTGTGAAAACAATATTCATATAAGTAAATCCATGTTTTGTTTTGTTTTTGAAAATCATTAAAATAAAGGAACTGCTGATGAGCATTTTCCTTAAGCCTCGAGTTAAGCAGAACAAAATCGATATGATTGGTCAGAGACATCGCCATTTCCATCCCATTCCTTACCATGTGGGTCATCAATTTCCATTGGAATATTGGTAGAGGTTTCAGATGATACAGTGTCTAACGAATACAACGAAAAATATTGAATAAATCAATTACATTCAATTTCATTTTGATCTAAGTTCATAACATACCTGAATTTGGACAGTTATCCAATATTGCCTGGCTGTTGCTGTTCAGAGATAGATGCACGCCTCTGAAAGTCTTTTTCAATTTTTCAAGCCTTTGGTTATTCATGTTTGTGTTACTGTGGTGGATGATATTCCTCATGAGGAACAGATGAGTGGATGGTAAACTCATGTTCAGAAAATAGTTGTTCTTCTTCATCCTGGAAAACAAGTGCTCTGCCACTTGACTGTTTACCCTTCCAGCAAGCTGTGGGACCAAGCCAAGTTTCCGCAAGGCATCACGGTCATCTTTAGTATTTCCCTCATGGAATTTATCATAAAGAGCATAATGATCTGCTGAACCGGTTATTGGATGTCCACCACTGTCTGGGACCTGCTTCTTGCATGTCAGCCAAGGTAGTGAAACAGTCAGCCTTCCCCCTTTTGCCATTATTATGTTTTCTGGAGTTGGTTCAGCTAATCGTCCTTCAAATGGACTGAAGGGCAATGTTTGTGGTTGCCTGAGGTTTGTGTGTGTTGCCAGGCCACGTGCAAAGTCATAAATGACAATGTTTGGCATGTGTTTCCAGGAGAGGAGAAGATCTGTAAAGTCTCGTGGACTTTCTGCTCGAATGTTCCATTTTATGCTGTATACTATGCCACATGGACACATAATCACTGCCCACCCACCTGAAATATATAAAAAAAAATGTTTCAATGAAAAGCAACATAAAAGCAAAATTTGGTTGTCGTAGGAGGCATATTTCCTATTTTCATGTTTATGTGTCGAGCCAATGTAGTGCTATATTGGTTTAGCCCAGGCTGACCACGTAATCCATTTAAACATGGTTACAGATGTTGATGGCAGTTGGGCAGTATTTTGTGTTCTCATTAATGATAGTTAGTACATTTTAAGGACAAAGTACACTATTATGAGTTATTGACGTG